AGACAGACAAACAGACAGACAGACAGATAGACATGATAGAGATACATAGATAGACTTAATAGAGATAGACAGACATGATAGAAAGATAGATATAAATAACAGATAATAACAATGACAGTCTTCCAACTGTCTTCCAACAACAAAGACCAAATGAATGAATATATCAATATTTGAACTAGTAGACACCTATGGCTTGTAACTCACGGAAGTCCACCCACTGGATCCACTAACGTTAAGCCTTAACCTGGGTTTGCTTTAGGCTCAGAGGGTTATTCAAACGCATCTCCAGAGATACTTCATCATTTCCAAAGCAAAGAACGAAGCCAAAAGCTAAGCAAACTTCTCAACGTTATGTAGAAATCAAACTAGGATCTAGGAAGTAGAACTGAGAAGGCATCTCCTGGCGCCTGCAAGGCAACCAAAGGGGAGCTGAGGTTGGGCACATCTCCCCAGGGGGGTTGCGTAGTGCAGTGTATTCAGATGAAAGACGGGTCACCTTTGTGTCTCCGTGGCTGGCGTGCAGGTATATTCCGGTGGGTAATAAGGTGGCGGTGGAATGGGAGGAATAAACTCGTCAAAGTCCAACATCTGGTGCAGGATAGTCCCATGAGGGGTCATGCAGTCTGGATTTGCAGAATGAGACCTCTGGGGCAAGAACTGGGTGGCACAAATGAGAGAGGTGGAGCATTATTATAATGGCCAGCAAATCTAAGTACTTTTCAAGCAAAGGGTGAAAGAGCAGTTACCCAGAGCAACATTTGTAATCATATAGTGGCCAAATAACAGCACGGGGGTGGGGGGTGTTTTGTACGTACGTGTTTTTCTGCCTGACCTGAATGCTTTATGGAAGCCATTATTTTTTCCTGTGCCCACACATTATTTGGATGCCCCTTTCCTTGATGTACCTGACAAAAACAATCCTTGATGCGCTGAGGAGACTAATTCAAGATTTTAATTTAAAAAGCTCAAGCATAAAATGAAAAATCTAAAATGTTTGAGGATTCTTTATTTTTTAATGATTGGGTTAGTTTGTCCATTTCGGCGCATTCTAAAATTTTCTGAATGATCATTTGTTCAGTGGGGATAGAAGGTGATTTCCAGCACTGAGCGAATGCCAATCTGGCCGCGGTTGGGATATGAATTATAATATACTTCGATTTTTTGGATACTTGTTTATCAAAAATTCCTAGAAGGAAGGACTCTGGTTTGTACTCAATTTGTTCCTTAGTAATCTCCTCTAGCCAATGCCTAATTTTTTGCCAATGTTTCTGAGTAATTATGCAATGCTTTGAGAAAACGCAGGGCCTTTTTGGTGGTGGCACCTAGGCTTTGGAGGGCCAATGGCTTTCTGTTTGGTGGTTCATCAGCTAATGTCTTTGGGCTCAGGGAATTCAAATGGCATTTTAGAAAATTAGCTAAGTGGTTTAGGGGCTGAGCAGCTGTTTTGCTTTCTTCTTTTGCCATATCAGAGTTATACTACCCTTTTCTTAAATGCAACAAAGAACACCCTTGTGGATAAAGTGTGGTCCATAAATTTTACAATAAATGGAATAGTCTCAAGGAGAACACCACAGCCTGGCCACCTGCCACCTTAAAAGTGGCCCCTTGTTTCATTTTCACCAAGCAAGGCTGTTAATGTCCTTTCCAGGCCGGGAATTGGAATTCAGCTGCAGTCGAAATAAAATGAGAAGTAATATTTCTTTCCTGGAGGTCTGAAAAATAAATGTAAACTAATCTTCCTTCGATGCTAGGGTGAATTTGAGGCAAGCTTAGTCAAGACTTCAGCTCCGTTTGGGTCTCCAATTTAGAAGATTGTTTAAACAGCAATTCCAGAAAATGAGAAACGTTGCCCATCGTTTACGGAATCCATTCAATCTCCTCCAAAGAAAGAGAGAGGGAATTGGGTTCAATTGTGGAACCTGCTGTCACGAACCACGGAAACTGATTTGAGGGCTGCAACCATATAAGAGCTTACAAAGTAGAATTGCTGGAGATAACAACACGGCTTCTACTTTCCACGCGAAGGAAGGTCTGGAGACAAATGACATGAAGTACAATGGGGGGGGGGGGGGAAGGAGACAACCAGTATTGGAATTCTACTGTCCTGATATTTGAAATTCTGTCCTAAAACTTTGAGGAGCAAAGCTGAGACATTAAATGCCCACTAAATATATTCATTTTTCTTCCCAAAGCTTGCTTTATGTCATGTTTGGGGGGATAATGATTGGTTAACTCAAAAGATCATTGTGGTTGAGGATAAGGTGACCTGGGCATCTGGAGGCCATTGAGGTCTTATCATTTCTTTGATGGGTTCATATCAAAATTTCTTTGGGAAATAAAAAAGCAGCATAGCTAGTTTAACCTTCTCCAGGTTCTTCATAACAACCTTGTGGGCCCATTGGGTAGAGACAGAGAGAAGAAGAAAGAATCGGTGGCTGGTCCATGGTTGATGGTGGCCTTGACTTTAGCTCTTCAGAGGCCCACCTAAACGTTATTTGTAGTGGTTGGGGACAACAACAAAACATTGACTTTCCTCAAATCCCAAGGTGAAATCCCCCTCCAATCCTATCTTTGACGTGCCTCGGTTGCACGCTTCCCCTTGTGGCTTAGCCAGATAACATGTGCATCTCACTCACCATTTGCAGAACATCGGAGGAGACCATCTGCATGCAGCACATTGCCGTTGCCAATGCACACACAATGGTGGAGATGATATTGAGAGCGCAAACACTAAACAGCAGGTCCTGCGCAGAGAGAGAGACACACACACACACAAAGAGAGAGAGAGAGAGAGAGAGAGGGAGGGAGGGAGAATGTCACACACAGGGAGGTTGGCTGTTCTTCCTTATCTCAACAAGACAGAGAACAAGCGCTTAAAACACTGTTGGCAGAGTGGATAATAAATGCCAGGAAATGGTTATCAGCTTAAGACAGCTCTTCATTACAGCCTCTCCAATCAAACCTGCGAGGGACCCTTTATGGGTGGAGAAACCAACTGAGAATCTACCTAGCAAGAGAATACAATAGCGCCATATTTTGGCTTTGCCGATTATGAGTTTTGACGATGATGATTATTTTCGGAATCCAGAAGCAAAAGTGAGATCTTTTGCATCCAGGCAGAAGGTAGACCGAGGAGAGCACATAGGGTGTAAGTAACCATCAGGTGCATAACAAATGCCACACATAGTAGAGGTCAGCTGTTCTGGAGTCCAGAGATCCTGCCTCACGAGCAGGAGGGGGACGGGTTCAAACCTGGTTACAGAAAAATTACAGAAATCCCATACTAAGCCAGCCAGAAACCGCATCCCTGAATCAGGAGGGAATCTAGTTGAAGATAAGGCCACCTCTAAGCATCAGTGTATATTTATGGGGAAATTGGAAAGAGCAAATCGGGGCCACTTCTCTCACTTCAAAGCCTGATAATACAAGTGGTCACCAACATGAAAAATATATAAACCAGGCGTGTCAAACTCGATTTCATGGAGGGCAGCATCGGGGGAGGAAGGCTGGGGGGACATGGCCAGTTTGACATCACTCATGTCAGGGGTGCCTGTGCTGGCCTGAGTGCTCTCGCAGCGAAATGGGCTCCCAAGCTCCGTTTTCCCTGGTGGCAGGAGGCCGTGGCAGCCAAAAACAGAGCTCAGGAGTCTGTTTTCGCTGGCAGAAGCACCGTGGGCCAGATCTAAGTACCCCGTGGGCTGGATCCGGCCCCTGGGCCCTGATATAAACTATCTCCACCTTGTAACGGTCTAATTCAGCGGTCCCCAAACTTGGCAACTTTTAAGACTGGTGGACTTCAACTCCCAGAATTCAGCTACGCTAGCTGGAGAAGTCTGGGAGTTGAAGTCCACCAGTCTTAAAGTTGCCAAGTTTGGAGCGCTCTGGTCTAATTAACCGAAAGACCCTCTGGTGTCCGTGAACCAGCTCATCCAGCTTAGCAAAGAATCAGCTGGTTCCCAGCGAGCAGAATTGTATTTCTGGGTTCTTATCGTCCTGTATGTGGTAAATTGAACAGCACCGAAGAGGACGCTTGATAGCAGGAAGATGAGCAATCAACTTTGGTTATCTCGAGTCTTTGCTCTATCAGCACGGTTATGGCAGGGATTCTGACCTTCACGCCAAAGTAGAATTTATACCCCTGTCGCTAGCTGTTCTTTGCTTCAGGGCTGAAGTTTGCACAATAACCCTGAAGCCTCAGGCCGCTGGCTGAATGTGAAAAGCATCCAGAGACAAAGCAACGGGAATATCTCGGAGGGTGGCCCTCGACTAACGACCACAATTGACCCAACATTTCTGTTGCTAAGCAAGACCGTTGCAAACAAGCAGCTGCTTCATTCAATTGCCTGATTATTATGCCTCTCTCGTGAGCGAAGGTTTGGCCAGGTCAATTCCTCCCCCGTTTTCTCCCATCTGCTGGAGGCAGGGTTTAGCTGGAATACAACTGCCCATATTAATTTGGGGTCGTATACCCCTGGAAGCATAATTATGAAAGACGGTCTCCTAAGTATTCTTCAGGATGCAGAGGAAAATATTTGATCTACGACACGCCTGGCCTGAGAAGAGAATTAACCCTATTATATCTAATGGCTTCACTGCCACTCTCTGAAGGTTAAATGGTACATGACAGGGAAGAGAAACATCCAGAAAATTAAAGCCACACTTAATATGGTTGCCTTCTCTTTCTTGATCCTACAAATATTGAATCCACTCTCGTGTCTCTTCCAGGATGAAGGACGCTCTTCTGCTTTAAGCCTTGATCTTACAAGACATCGTCTGTCTGAACCCAGAAAGAAGACCGTAATGGAAGGTTCTCAAATCTAGAAAAAGAACTCAGACTTTCTTTCCTGATATATCAATTGAGACTCCAGATCAGCCTGGTGGGAAAGAGAGAAGGAGGTAATGAAGAGAGAAAGAGAAAAACAGAAAGAGAGAGAGAGGGGAGAAGGATGGATGGATGGAGGGAGGGAGGGAGGGAAGGAAGGAAGGAAGGAAAAAGGACAAGGAAGGAAGGAGAAAGAAAAGAAAGGGAGGATAAAGGACAAGGAAGGAAGGAAGGAAGGAGAAAGAAAGAAAATAAAGGGAGGATAAAGGACAAGGAAGGAAGGAGAAAGAAAGAAAAGGGAAGGAGGAAAAGGGGCA